TTCTGAGTAATCCGAGATCCTACTATCCAGATGAACAAGAGTGCAAAGCATTAAAAAAACTTATGGAGTGACTCCACAACAGTATGAGACTAACATGGAATTTAGAAAGGTTTTTTCCATAAATCAAGAAGTAAATGAAACGAGCTAAATTCACCCTAAACGTACAAAGTACCTCTAGCCTGTAGTATTTTCACTACAGGCTAGGGTAGGCAAAGTCCACTGAGAATGCAAGCTGTACCTCTAGCCTGTAGTATTTTATCAGCCCCCTAAGATCCTACCAGCTTGAGGTTAAAGACCAAATAAAAATAAATAAATGTATACGTATTCCTGGAAAAAATTGATTCAAACGAGTTTAAGACTAATTTCAGTGGAGTGCGGAAATAGTAAAATGCGAAGGAAACCATCGTAATAATTGTGCAAATTTGACTAGATATGCAAGCTGTACCTCTGGCCGGTAGTATTTTCTAAGCTTCCTGAGATCCCACCGTCTAGAGGTAGAAGACAATAGAAATTTCATCTTGGGGATCTTTCCAACCAGTAGCACCATGAAAGGGGCATATAGTGGCGATACTATTCATAAGTTTTGTTTACCTTTGCAAGTGTTGTTCTTAGCGGCTACAGCTTTAAGCTAAGACTCAAACAAGGAACTTAGGATCGACGAGGGCGAAGGAAATAGCCACACAAAATTTGGCGAAATTTCCTTGATTGAAACTCAACAATGTATACTCCACATGTAAAGCACGTTCTAATGTTCATATCTGGTTGAATCATATCGCTTGACTGTTAGTAAAATGCACATGGTGTTACTAGAATAGTCCGCCATATTGCAATAGCCGACAATTTCCGATAATCACCCGACTCGGAAACCCGTGACTAGTGCTCCTCGTGCGTACCTCTAGCCGGTAGGATTTAGGCACAACCTACAACCACAGAAACCTCGTTTCCAGGGTCTCTCTGGCTCTAAATGAAGGGAAGAAGAGAGACCCTGGGAATGAGGTTGCAACCACAGTATTGAACGTTTCTGTAATCGTAATACCAACACGACTAACTTAACGATACCGATGCCTGACTTGCTTTACAA